TCAAAACACCTTGAGAACATTAGATTGGAAATACAGTAAGCAGCATTTTAGAAAGTTTGGCTAAACTAGATGCAAAGTCTGGTATTATTACACTGAATAACATGCGGCTGAAGAAGAATCCCAAATTCCTGACAAAGAATTTACATTTTGCACAAAGAAATCACATTAACGTGATGTATCAATGGGAAAATTAGTAGGAGCTGTGATGAGGATTCAAACCTATGCTCTGGGTAAATCATAGCACATGCCTTAATGCAATTTCTTTGTGCCCTTGAAGAGAAGCATTGGACATGAACTCCTTGACCACACCCAGAGTGCATGGTGGCAAAGCGTGAAAACCCATAACTTGGCTTCAGTTGAAGCCTCAGGAACCCTCTAGAGGATTCACTTGAATCCCAGGTTGCATTACTTTTTGAAGATGTCATGGTGTAGTGGTCTAAGGCGTGTGCTTGAACATATCTAGAGCATAGGTTCGAATCCTCTTCATAGCTCCTACTCATTTTCTCAACTTGCATTTTTAAAACAACATTGTTTGCCTACTCTTTTATATGTAATTACTTAATTGTAGTAACAGGATGAAAACTAAGCTTCTGGTGTCCCATTGCTGTATATTTATCACATACAATTTTAAAAATACCAATGGTCCTACATAACAAAGCTAACAGAAAGCCTATTAACGTATGTGATGAAGCTCTCATTCATACCTAACCAAACTCATTCATCTGTGTGTGTAACCTAGGCTATCAGCAGTTTTGTGATGCCATCTCTATTATCACCCAGCTATTTGTTCCATAAAACCACAAGTATTTACCTGTCTTTTCTTACTAAACTTATCTAATTTGGATACAGTGTTTTGTGGTCTATTTTAACATATTTAACATTTTATTAACCACCCCAATGTTATACCCTTATCCTTTCATGATAAACTACTCCAATCAAGTCTAATTGTTGCCTAAAAGGGGCAAGATAAAGCTAAAAAAAAAAAAACATTCTTTGTCATTGTGCATGTGATAAGACAGTTCCATTACTGACATTAGAGGTTTATTGCCAACAATTCTTGAAATGACTCCCAGTATTCTATTTGCCTAATTTCGAACATTTATACATTTACTTTGTTCTATTAATCACCACTCCCAGATGTTTTTTGCATTCAGAATTGGCAATTACAACACTGACCAGCTGATATGTAGACAACACACTGCCCATTCTAGCAATTTATGCCATTTATCTACCACCCTGTTTGTTCCCCAAAATCAAATCGTTTCTACCCATCATTCCCATCAATAATCATGCCTGTCATAATGTTCACTAGTACCTGGGCAGCGACCCCACTCAAATCTTGGCACCCAACAGCAGGTATGGCCCCCCGTTGAATGGGTACCCCCCCTCTCATATATGAAATAAGGTGGATGTTTGGGCCGAGTCCATAGATTTTTATCATGACACCTTCCCTTCCCCCATCCACTTCATGGACCTGATTTTTATTTTGTTTTATTTTTTGCAGGAAAATTCGTGCAGAATTTGCCTCTGGCTGGCCACCCATAGCTGAAACATTTGGGCCATGTCTCTGACTGGCCCACTAATGGACCTGATTAAGTCTGAGGGGGCAGATGTGCCAAAATTTGTGTTCCGATGAGTGACTTGTATTCTGGGGGCCCCCAACACTTTAACGTTGCATGTGTTGACCCAGGGACCCTTGTCTGGTATCCCATCTAATACCCAATAAGCAGAAGAATTACCGGTTATTTTTTTCCAGCCTTATGATTAAATAGTCACACCTATCAGTTAAATAACCATTCTCCAGAAGATAACACTGTACTCTTATACACGTTGATCGAATCACACTTTATACCTTCCACCAGTTGATTGACAGTTGAGAGGCGGGACCAAAGAGCCAAAGCTCAACCCCCGCAAGCACAATTAGGTGAGTACTTTATCCTTTACTTTTAAGTTATAGTAAGTTTAGAGCCTCCAAGCAGTCCTTACAGCAGGTGTAAGAGGTGTGGGGCCACATGGTAGCATGTCTCAACCCCTTCTGTTTCAGTTGTTGAATATGATGCTTCTGAGGAACAGACCATTGTTGCATATTCCCAGTATGGGAATCACATATGGAATGAACACTTTCCTGAACATTTCTCGATCCAGATTCTTGAAGGTTATTCCAAAATTGATCCTTTATATGATTGACGAGAGATTAACGTCAAGGCCGTCTTAGTAGTTATGCAAAAATCAACTCGTATCTTTGTTATATAACCCATTGTTACTCTCTTCCATGTGTTTCAAATATAAAATAAAATATCTGATCCTATTTTCCAAGCCAATTCATTCTGTCTTCGCTTATTTCCAATTCCATTAAATGACATTTGTGTACGTTAAACTTGCACACTTACTGATGATTGTGATCTTGTCAGTATTTTTACTTTCATCACATTATATATGTATATAGTATATACATTTATTTATTTATTTATTTATTTAGTTGGAAGTTTGCTGTAGCAAAGCACATTGTACATATTACAATAATATATGCAGTGAAAAGATTTGCCCCAAAAATGTGTTTTGTTTACCATTTTTACCATATGTTTACCATATTAGTTCAAAAATTTTGTGAAGGCCTTGAAACTTTTTGATGCACACGTATTGTTTAATTACGAAAATACTGTTGGAAAACTATTAGTTAGAAACAGTCCTCATAGTGATAACTGTCATTTACAAAATACCTTTTAAAGACTAAAATAGGTTCTATGTAAGGCAAACATCCAAAGATTTAAAAATTTAAAATTTTGAAACAAATACAGAGACATGGCCAATTGTCTAATGCTTTGTTCATTTGTCAGAAAGTTTTCACCAAATTGATTGGGAGATGGCGTCTTCAATAACAAATAGTAAATCATTTTCAATTGAAACATTATTTAATTTGCTTTAATACAGAATACAAAATCATGTAATTTGAATATTAGCAGGATTTGTATAATTTAAATCCATTTATGATTGATCAGCTACAGGGCAATTTTAGTAGGATCATTGATACACATTTATCTCATTAATACCTTATTAATATCCCATTAAAGACTGTACCTCACCTCACGTCTTTCCTGCCTATATATTCACACCCACTGAACGGTAAATCCATCCTTCTGAAGATGTATTATTATATATGAAAATACTTAAGGAAATACCTGTCTTAATCCCTCCTTCGTGGTCTGACACTGTCACTGTGTTCATTGCGTGTTAATTTCTTCGTGATTTACACATTTTATGTATATTATATTATATATATATATATATATATATATATATATATATATATATATATATATATATATATATATAATAGTAATATTATAATAAATATAATTGGGGGATTTCATTTTCAAGCATCTTAAGACCTGTCATTCTACAAAACAGAAACATCCTTGATGTTTCATAGTCTTTATTTTAAAAAATCATTCAGCCTCCTAACAAACAAATGTCCCTGAACTTCCCTACACCGTATGTAGCAAGACTGTCGATAATAACCTAATTAAGAAGTTTCTTAAAATAATAAACAAAACAAACAAGAGTTTACAACTTCTAAACTTGGCTTTGGTGTTTATTAATGTGGACTAATAATTACTATTATCTGCCAGTAATGTATGCATTTCAACATGGTTAATTAACACTGATTCTTGACACCCTCACAACCAAAAAATATTAATTCTGACATTAACATTCCCTCTCATAATGTTTGCCAGTGCACCAAAACCTTGCAAACTGAGTCTTAAATGAAAGTTTACTGGTCAACAGTGTCCAGATACAGCTGCAATATAAATGATAGAAGGATGAAATGTATCATAAGAACCACTTAGATCCGTGGCAGATGTCGGTCATCAAATGTCCCTCCAGACAATTAATACGGGAGTTTCAAATCCAATCCACTTTATTGGATTTTTTAAAGACAGCACTGAACTTGATAACCATTCCATCAACCGCTCATTATTACCACAGAATTGGGTCCTGTAGGCCAGTGCTGAAGCATAAGAGTTATTCAGTACATCACTCAAGTCTTCACACATTTAAAGGAAAGTCGCCCTTATTTAACGGACAATTTAAATCCATGCAATTAAACATAAACCTTGAGTCAGTTATTACAGAAGACTCACTGGGAGAGCTGTCTATGCTAACCCTATCAAGTAGTATTGACAACATGAGACTAATGCTTTTAAGACACAAAAGGGAATGACAGTTATTGCAAAAACATTTTGTTATTAACCTCATGCGAAATATAAAACTTTAAAATCATAAGCAGCCGTCAGTTCCTTGCTTTTACTATTCAAATAAAATGTCAAATTAGTCAACTAGTAATACGTTTTAAAACCCTAAACAAATGAAGTAGTTAAATGCAAGACTTGACAAACTGGAGCCACACCACTCGCACAAGAAATTAAAGGATAAACCCATTCACATATAAACACTGTATTCCCTGCATGGAAATAACTACCAAAAATTGTACATTTCAAACCAAACCAAAGGTGGGCAAGAAGCTATGGCAAACGATGACCAAAATATCACAAGCCAGTGTTCGTGCTAAGTGATGATGCATTTGATTGCAAGTCAATCCTTGAGGGCATATTCACGTCAAAATTCCCTATCTCCAGCCAGTGAACAATATTATATCTCAAACTGGAGTCTTGTCAAAACAATAAATGACTCGTGATATTTTTGTAATGATGATCGGGAACAAGAATTTTAATAATTCACTGTAATCCAATGAAATATCAAATTTTGACGGACATTGTTTGAAGGAAAGACTTACTGGAGTGGACAAATAATATGAAGCATGATATGTGTCTAAAATCCCAGGCTTCGAGCACGTTGTCACAGGAGATACATCCCCCCATCCTAAGTCCCTCAAAACACCCTCCCCCATCATCAGCAAGCCTAGTCCCTCCCCACCTCACAAGCAGCAACGATCCACACAAGCAGCTCTAAGCGTTACCACACAGACCACACCTCCATACCTTAGGCAGACTTAGGGACCTCCTTTTCCATATCCTCTGGAAAGGAGAGTTAAGAATGGGGTGAAGACGATTTTGTGTAGTTGGGGGGCCTATGTAAACACTCAATGTTACAGCTTAAATAAGTCCTTAATATTGTGAAAGCAGTGAAACAGCCTAGTTTAGAATCTCATGCTTCATTAGTACACTAATATGCTTTACCCTAAAGAGAGAGAGACTATCATTTCACGAATTCTAATCTAACTTACATCACTAGATAACTCTGAATGACTACCATCAGGACTTGTGACACACATAATGGAGCAGTTTATACCAAACTCTCTTAACTAATAAAGTAACTGAACAGAACAGCTGTAACAGTAGCTAAGATCAATCCAAGACAATATCATCTTGTCTGTCCATCCATATGGTCCATGGATTTCCGTGCAAGTGTGTGTGTGCAGTTGATGTCATTATAGGCTCTCCTAAGCCAAAATGTTCCTGCATATGTTAAGTACATGAGTAGTTACTTACAGGCAAAATTGGGGCAAGGAAAGACGAATTTGAAGTCTTTCAAATGTAATAAGATAGGGCAGAAAAGGTAAAGGAGAGTGGGTAGAAGGGAGCTAGGGAAAGGGAAAGCAGATATTTAAGGTTCGAACCAGCCGTAAATGTGGAAACTTCAGATGCAAAATATTTTGAATATTTTGTTTATTGGAAATTTGAATTGTTGAATACATATAAAATTATTATAATAATTATATATCAAACCATTTTCCAATAAAGATGGTACTTACAGGAAATATTTGGTCAGGCATACAAAAATGTACAGTTGACCCAAAAAGTTAATGTTTTTATTACCAAATTACCTCAAATGACATTAAAACCGGAACCCAACCTATCTGAGACAAATATGCAATCTTAGCTTTAATATATGCTATCTTAGGGCTAATATAGTATAATACTAGGCCTAGGAATGTATATATTTTTTTTTTGGGGGGGGGGAAGGAAATTTTTGTCGTGCCCTCTAAAAAAAATTAATAGTACAAAACCTGAACACCGCAAATGAAACAGTTTATTATTATACGTTCAACCTCACAGTACTGTACAGTAATATAATTTTAGGAGGATGGTTGATTATTTACATATTTTATAATATTTTATATTTTACACACACCGTTATAAAGCACTGCAGCCTAGTGTGAAATATTTACTATTTCAGTTATTTAATACTCAATCTTAAATTTAGTGATTACTTCTAATGTGATAATACCGACCAGGTCCAAAATCTTTAAGCATGGAAAAAATCATGGAAGTAATTCATATCTGATATGTAATTTTGTGGAATGAAATTTAACATACATTCAAGCTAAATACTGTCAGTATTAAGCGTGGCTTAAATACTGCTGAAAGCATTCTAACTGGCGTGGTTGTGGTTGTTCTCACCTCAGTGTCCCGGTCCTTGTCTGTGTGCATGGTGGACAGATGCGCTAGGCGGCCACGCAACAGCTCCAACTGAACGTTGCACTTGGCGTTCTGCTCCCGAAGATGAGCGTTCTGGTCCTCCAGCTGTGGAGGAGAGAGAGAGAGAGAGTCAAGTGGTGAGTGGGAACTATAAAGATTGGGGTGGAGGGAGTTGACAGGCAGAGTTTCCCCAGCCCAGCCGACAGCCTTGTCTCGACTATTGTTCAATCATCCAGCCTCTGTATCTGCTCTCCTTTGTCGATGCTCTCGAATGTACCGTTCTGTGGGTATTTATGGGGGACCCTGGAGCTACCTAGGCCTACTAAATAGATAGCCTCAGGCCATCTACCTACCACGCCTTAAACAGCATCTTGTTTTAAATACACACCAGGCTACCTGTCTGCAATTCAAGGTCAAGTCACACGACCTGACCCGTGGTCAACTTGTGTCACACACACTTCTATAGGTGTGACTTTTTAATTATTAAAGACCGACATTCTGGCACCTAAAATATCCTGTCTGGCTGATTTATGTTGTATGTAAAATAAAATATAATTAACCTAAACACTTTTATGGTGTTACAGTTGGAGGCCAGGGGCCGGATTCAGGAAGGTATTTACGAAGGTTTTTCCTCTTAGCTAAGAACGTTTTCCCTCTTAGCGCCTTCGTGGCGGCTACGTCCGTATTCAAGTAGCTACACTAAGTGGAAAAACCTTCGTAAGTTCATTCCGGGATTTAAGTGTGGTTTCGACCACTCGTAGCTTTACGTAAACTGGATATATGTCATTTTTTCTCTACTACATAACACTGAGATCGATTTATATTGGAACATGACCAAAATATTATAGCTGGTGAATCTAGTGAAGAGGAGTCCTTTGTGTTAGTTATATATGCATTCTCTGCTTGAAACTTGAAGTAAATGTGTGTTTGATGATAGTAGAATTAGTTTATAATAGCAAGATATTATACCAGTAGTTATTAAGTAAATAAACACTGGTGAACATGAAATATGAGAGAAGGTGATGAGCCCTGCCTGATGGGATCATTTACTATCACCAAATGCCCCTGTTCACCTAGTAGTAAGGGTGTACCTTAGCTATACATACCCATTTCTAATTTATTTAGTTTGGTTTTATTTTTAAATTAAATCTGGGTGAGACATAAAATAAAAATATGCTGCACAAATGATGTTAGGTAAGGAGAAGGGTAAAAATGTCACAAACTTTATTCATTGAATACTTAAAGCTATAATTATGACTATATAGATTATTAAAAAAGAGAGAGGGAAGTAGGGGTCCAAGACCTCTTCCTGTTATACAATTTGGGTGTGGAACAAGTAATTAAATAATAAATAAATAAATAAATTTTTTTACAAAGATTGGTTGACTTATAGGTAGAGCTAGTACATACAATGCCTAAAGCCACTATTACGCAAAGCGTTTCGGGCATGAAAAACTTAAATGACAAGCTTAATACTAATTGAGCATAAAGAGTAGAATGAAAACAAGAAATGAAAACATAGCTGAAAAAGCAGCACAAATACAATTATGTCAACAAAGAGCGCTCTTTTAAAAAAAATAGACATTGGTTGACAATAGAAGGGTAAGGTAGGTTACAGGGAATTTATTAGGTATAGCTTCGTTTTTATCTTAAACTGGTTGAGAGGGGTACAGTCTTTAACATGGTTGGGAAGGTCATTCCACATTCTGGGCCCCTTGATTTGTAGAGCATTTCTAGTTTGATTAAGTCGTACTCAAGGAATATCAAAACTGTATTTCTGGTGTAGTGCTCATGGGTTCTGTTACAACCTTCAATGAAGCTTTTGAGGTCAGGATTGGCATTACAGTTTAGCGTTTTATATATGTATAATACACATGAGAGAATGTGCAGTGACTTAATGTCTAACATATTCAGAGATTTGAGTAGGGGTACCGAGTGATGTCTGGGGCCAAAAGAATTATCAAAAGAAGGCACCATGCCGGGAAGGCTATGTAGCAGTAAGGCAGTGAGGTGAGGCAGTAAGGCAGTGAGGTGAGGCAGCTACTTATTTGAGAAATGCATATTTTATTTACCTTATAAGCTGAGGCAACTTATTTTATTTGAGGAATACTCAGCTGATTCCTCTACATTTAGCATGGAACAAATGTGTGTCCAAGACCTCTTCCTGTTACTCAATTTGGCTCTGTGTAACCAAACTAGAAGTGCTCTACAAATCAAGGGACCCAGAATGTGGAATGACCTCCCGAATCATGTCAAAGGCTGTACCTCTTTCAACCAGTTTAAGAGTTAAACCAAGTACTGCCTAATTAACTCCATGTAACCTAACTTACCTCCTAAATGTCAACCCATGTCTTGCTATTTTTTAAACAACGCTGTTCACCAACATGTGCAATTGCTGATTTATGCTATGTTAACCCCCCTTTTTGTATTTTTTATTCCTTCTTTCAACACAATTTATACCTAATCCCAATTACTATTAAGTTTTAGTCTGTGTTTTTTCCCCCACACCTTGCCCGAAATGCTATGAGTATTAGTGGCTTTAGGTATTGTATGTACTAGCTCTGTCTATAAATCCAACATTATGTTAGTAAATCAACTGTATGTACTTTTCCTGAATAAAATGTATTTATTATTTATTTTTTAATCAGTAAGTATTAAAAGAAGGCACCAAGCTGGGAAGGCTATGTAGCACCATTGTGTGTAACAATAAACCAAATTTTTTTTTAACAAATAATGCACCTGTATGGTAAAACAAATCCTGTCAGCTGTAAAAATATTGATGCAGTTATTTAAATGAAAAATATAATGAAAAATATTACTGGTTTATTTTTATCCTATCTTTTTGTACTGTACAGTATATCCAGGGAAGTGAAAAATTGAGACATAATGCACAATTTAATGAATGATTAGCATGGATTAGCAGTTCAAAAGAAATATGACTATTACATATCAACATGAGATCTTAATGATCCATGGTCAACATGATTTAATAAGGATAATACAGTACTGAATTTGTAATAATACAAACTATAATTTAAAATCTTTATTACTGATTTTTTTTATTAAGAAGATTAGGTATACACAGCAATGTACTACTACCCTATTCTATATGGAATATTACACAGTGTAGATAAAAAACTAGCTATAAGTTTATCTAATACTCCCATCTCACAGGATGGTTAGACATACTGTACATGGAATCAATTTTGAAAATACCAGCCTCAATACAAAAAACAAATCAACTCTGACTAAACAACTCTAAGCAATTTTCACAAGAGGTAAGCACTGAATCATGGAAACATTATATTATAATTACTCTTACCAGTTTCTACAAGACTCCTCTCAAACAATGTATTTTTAAACATGTTTAGGTATACACAGCAATGTGCTGCTTCCCTATTCTGTATAAAGGACCACACAGTGTAGATAAAAAACAAGCTACAAGCTCATCCAACATCATCACCTCACAGGATGGCCAGTCATACATGGAATCAGGAGAGAACAAAATGATCTTAATGCTGATCTATTAGCCTCCACTGGCAAAATCTGGGTGCAGCACAAGAATATCTTCCAATATTCCTCAGTGTATGAAGTAATTACAGAGCTCAAAATACCTCATACCATTTGGTATGAAGTCACTGATAACAGGACAATCACAGATATAGTGTTGGAGAGTATGTTCTCTCAAGTAGGACTGAAAACACATGTTTTTTTCCATCAAGAGGGCTATAAACCCATGGAACCGCCTACCCGCTGAAGCCGTAAATGCCAAATTCCAGCTAAAAAATATCATTAAGACAATTGGCGGGCCCTTTAACAAGCCGCCGGCTTTCTGTCCTCGTCGAGGCCACTAGATAGTTAGTGGCCCTTGGGTAAATTCAGTAAATATATACAATAACTGTCAGCGCATCTTCCAAGCAACAAGGACAGCTACACAGTATCTCTTAGAATTACGTAGGTAAACAACAAATGTAACATATTTGCTTACTACAATGTCGGTGCTGGCTGTAGAAGTTGAAAAAACATGGTTTTACTTCGAAATATACTAATTTTATAAGAAAATTCGACGTAAATAGGAGGCAGTAGAGCTCTGATAAACCAGCGTTAAATCTTCAATATGAAGAATGTTGCTGCTCTCTGATTGGCCAAACGAAACACAGTAGTGACCTCTATCGGCACGCAGGTGAACCAACAATTTTCTTCCGAAGTGGACCTTATTGAATCGCACCTAAGCATCTTCTTAGGGCGCACTTAGGAACCTTCGTAGCAAACCCACTTACGAAGAAATACACAGAGCTTCCTGAATCTAGGTCCAGGCTACCTGTCTGCAATTCAAGGTCAAGTCACACGACCTGACCTGTGGTCAACTTGTGTCACACACACTTCTATAGGTGTGACTTTTTAATTACTAAAGACCGACAGTCTGGCGCCTAAAATATCCTGTCTGGCTGATTTATGTTGTATGTAAAATAAAATATATTTAACCTAAACACTTTTATGGTGTTACAGTTGGAAGCCAGACACTTGGTGCTAGCCTCACCCATCTTTGCAGAGTAAACGGTCTGGGGTACAGGACAGACATAGGCTGGTTGGGGTCGCATCAGGGTGTTTGCACATGCAAACACTAGTATAAACATAAATACATAGTGAGAGTGTGTGAACTCGGGCGGGGAACTTTGTCAAACTTAAAACGAAACTTAAAATCCGCTGTCATTACGCGCTGCAGTGGTTAGGACGGTCACCTCAAACGAGGAGCCAGGTGTTCGAATCCCTAGCAGTTAATTAAAGAAAAGGTGTGAACGAGGGGTAAGGATGAGGGAGGTATTGCAGGGTGCAGAAGGGGAGGAAAACGCAACCACAGGAAGACCTCAAAGTGTTGGAACAAACCAAATTAAAAAGCAAGATAAATAAGAAAATTATATACATATTTTAAGCACCAAATCAGAGAAACACCAACGAACACAATTACACCACAGATGCCGAAGAAATATAAGAAAATTCACTTTCGCAAACAGAGTGGTAGACGGTTGGAACAAGTTAGGTGAGGTGGTGGAGGCCAAGACCGTCAGTAGTTTCAAAGCGTTATATGACAGTGTTGGGAAGAC